CGCGTGAAGGTTTATACTGTAGGTATAGGCGGTTGGGAATTATTCGGCATTTTGCTTAACTAGATGTGTCTATGACAAATGAGGTTCATTGTGATATCTATACTTTTGTGGTGTTAGAGCATATGGGCACAAAGCGTACAAATATTTGCATAGATGGGAACTAAAGTGCGATTACCGAGTAAAGAGACGTCCGACGGGCTGCGTGTAATGAACACGCAGTCATTTCCCTCTGTCATTAAATGTCAAGCAAAATTCTGAAATTTATTTTCTATTTAAACATGTTAATTAGGTACGGTTGTAATAAGGATTGACGTAGAGCCTAACGTCAACGTATTTCAGTGACGTCAGGATGTCGGCCTCTTCTTGGTCATCTAAAAACACATTTTCTGTAAAAATAAAAAGGTTAAATAAGTAGTATGTATATTTATCATTGATTTTCAATGCCCTTATAAATTCAAGTATACTTTATGGAAATCATGCACAAAAATATTCTTTCTCGTATTCATTTGGTAGAAAAGTATGCCTTTTTCCAATTTTATACTTGAGGGAAGGATATCTTTCGGCTTCAAAAATCTTTTCTTATTATGATATTTTTACGACCTTGAAATGTCCATTCATAAAGTGACGTAGTTGTCCATTTATTAATACTGCTTAAACATTATACAACTGGGTTCACATCCACTGCACCTGTTATGTGAATCATGTGACATCTTCCTCGCATCGGAGGAAAATATACACTTTTCCTTAGACACAATATATACAGCATGCAGATAGCAGGCCTTGAACTCGAGTGTAATGGTTGGTAGGGTTTAAATGTTTCAGAAAAGTCAAGCAGATTGGTGTGCACCGGTACAGTGGGAACAGTCATACGAGTCAGCACTGCTTTTTGCAAATAAATGTTCAAATAAATTTAAGAGCCTTCTAAGCAAAATCAGTTTTTTTTTCTTGTCTGGTTCTCTGATGATATTAGCTAGCGCTTCAGATCAGTAAGCTTCTGTAACCTGTGTTCTGCGCAAAACATACCCTTCTTTGCTGAAGGCATAGTATCCTACTTAATCAGGCCTGACAAATCCTGAGCGAAGCAGCTCTGCAACTATCCACTTTCATAAAATACATTTTAGGAGCAAATAATTGTCCGCAGAAATTACTGTCCTCAAAAAAATTAACTAGTTTCTAAGGCACCTGTGTAATAAAGACCTGTGTGTACTGGTAGCTTCGGATAAATCACACAAATTTTGAATATTTCTACATAGTAAGTTAGGAGGAGTTAGTAAGTTAGTAGGAGTTAGGAATCTCACAAGTCTTATTTGTTCATCAAGTGCGAAGAAGACGGTTCTCACTATGTGACTAACGGTATTGATTAGTCGTATTCGCGATCTGGGACGAAACTGAACCGGTTGATATTGTCTATCGAAATCGGAAATAATCAAGGTTCAAGAAGGCCTGATTGAAGTACTTGAAAAAATCAGTGCACACAGAGCTTTTAAGGCCATTTCGATGGAACACATCATCATGTGCTGTCAGAAAACGGCCAATTTAATGACTTTATGCCTGTTAAGTTGCCTGGATCTCGTTTTAAGAATGAAGAATGCTTTCGCATATTTGAGAACGCCAACAATACGTTCTATCTGGGAAAGCATGCGAAGCTCTTGTTCAACGTACAACTAGTAAAAAAGAGCAAGAATTTGATAGTGCGACCTGAGTCCATCAGTTTCAGCGCCAGAAAGTGATAAGCAGAAGAGTATTTTTGGCTCGGGTCTCCGTTCTCTTTTCTTTTGATTCATACGGCAAAAGTGGAATATATGCAATCATTATTCCCTAAATGGAGTAGATCATTTAGTCACCTGAATGTCAATATCACGGTAGTGAATCTACCAAAAAAGCCTTGACCTGAATGAGCTCCATGCTTTTATAGTTTTACTCTAAAATAATTGTTACTTAATATAATTAAGTAAAATATCAAATGTGTGTATTCGGTATACGGATAACGAGGGACACACTGAACTAAGGGGTGAACCACTTACATGTATATGAGCAGGCGCAACCTTACCCATCCGATCTGTGCATTGACTGGCTACTTCTTCAAGAAGTTTTCCCCGTGTTAACATCTTGTTTTCAGTATTCTTTTATTGTAGATTGTTTTTGTTTTTACTTAATTTTCCTTACTATTGCTCTATTGTTAGGATTTGAATGTCTAACGTTCGTAGTTCGGCTAATTCGTCACGGTTATCTTTTAATATTTTCTCATTGTAGATTGGTAGATATTCTTGTTTATGGTTATTGTTTAATTTACCGCACGCGTAATAAAAACGAGAAAATCGGCGGAAAGTCAGGCTACTGAAAATGTAAATTGGGTTTTATTAGTGTTAGCAGTTTGAGTATTGCTTCCTTGTTAACCACAAAAAAACCAGAAACAATAAAATAGTAAGAAAGATGCGTTGAACTTTTAAAATTAATGTGTCGGTTGCATCTCGTGCATATATATGTTTGGGCGTTTCCCCGTTCAGTTAAATGATAGTACATAATAGGAAGGGCAGAAATCAATCAATATACAATGATGTAATAATAAAAAGTAGCCAAGACGAATTTACCAATCAACGCACAAAAGGAATGCGCATATACATAGTTCATCCCCTGAACTAATAGGCGACCTGATGCGGCCCCTGTACGTGGTCAGTAACTAATAAATCTGAATAGGCCTGTGATATAGGCAGAATGATATTATCGACAAAGACAAGGGAGACCGGAACTCTAATTTCTGACTTATAAGTCGTCATCAGCCGGCCACACCCATGTGTTGAGGCACCCGAGGCTCTTACTCGCGGCCTATTGGCTGGGAGCCCAACACTCTAAACAATGCGACACAGGCTCAGGGTTTGAATATTATTCTGAAACACTTCATTTCTCCCCTCATATTAAATGGACGTGCGATTGATATCTGCCCAAAGTCCTGATCTCAGCTACCTAAGAGAGATATCCGGATTAAAACCTCGGGTGCTGACAATTATAATTCAAAATTGGACAGTCGAGTGTCGCTACGCTCCATCGACAGCATTTTTCTGATTAATAATTGGTGCGCGCCATCGGGATTTGTGTACCGATTTGTTGAACGTCTTGTTTTGAAATGGGGCAGAATACTTATTAAACACACACCTTCTTAACACATTTTCTATCCTACCAGAAGGCTTCCTATTAGAAAGTATTTTTAGCGAATGTATCCAAAAGCCTCGATCATTTCAATACTGGGCAGAAAATTTGCTTTCTGCATCCCATGCAATCACTGGGGAAGACTTTGAGAGGCAGATCAGGTAATTATGACAGCCGCCTATTCTTGTGTGCTAAAACACCGCATTTAAAGACTTATGCGTCCGACCTAGTCATCCGCTGCCTCACCGCCTTTTCTTCTTCGCCATCCTTATCTAGCCAACCAGGATGGCCGAGGAGCTGGAGGAAGGCAACCCTTACCTTCGCGGTCGCCGTCGATCAAGCCTGGTGGCAAAGAAGTTTGGCCGTCAGAAGAGAAGATCAAGAGTGAGATTCAGCCTTATTACCGTTTTGCTATACGTTCTAAACCCTTCGAACCATTTTCATTCATTAGACAATACCTTCAGCTACTGGGCCGCATAACATCATGCGAAGCCTGTTCGCGGAATTGCTATGACAACTCGTTTGAGGGTATCATTGGCGAGCTCCGCAACCATGTACGCCCTTATGTGAGA